ATTTCGCTGGTTCAGTGTGAACAGATAATACGAGGAGAAGACAAACACTCAGACTGACCTCAGACTCCTTCAGCGTGTTGGTAAGCATGTTGGCCGCCTTCCTCTTCTGCTCCAGGGCTCCGGTCAGCTCAGCCACCTTTATGTCCAGAATTTCTTTTTCATCAGAGTGAACCTCGCCTTGCAGCCGCGCCAGTTTTTTATTCAGGATGGCAATCAGGTTGTCCTACAAAAGGCAAGACAAGTAAAGGGACAACACATGAACATAGGAACTGGAATTGGATGTTATTGTCAAACTATAAAGCATATCAATAATACAAAGGTTTATAAAACTGTGTTTATGTATTTATTTATCTATTCATATTTTCCTTTTATTATTAAATACAAATGTATTGAAGTTTTCTGTATTTTTGATTTAAATGTATTATTTGAATTATGTATATAATGTCATTTTTTGTATCCTTAATTTTTGTCTTATAAAAAGATTACATGAAATGCTTCTTTAAGTAATTAATATTGTTCATGTGTCTTTAAATCTGAACCTTTAACAGATGTCTTAATGGCTCCTCCTGTGACTCTCTGCTTGCCTGTTCACCGGTAGTCTCCTGCTGTTTTCATCAATTCGCTCTCCAGTTTTTGTGAGCTGGCTCTCCAGGCTGATGATGGTGGACTTTACTCCCGGATACCCTGGGCAATAGAATTCTTCTCTTTTGTCTTGAGGACCTGCAAACCGCTCTCTACGACAAAAAAAACTCCTCCCTGCAGTCATGCAGCTGGACATCCAACTCCTGAGGAAAGGCACAGGCACAAATAGAGTATTAAAGCACCAAGCTATATCAATTTGAGCACCACATTGTCATGGCACAGAGATTCCTGAAAGGCATTCTTCTCTGTGTTATTAAACTAATGTGAAGCCTGCGAGCTCGTTCAGGCAGTCAACTGGAGCACCAATGATACATTACCACGTGACGCACCTCGTCCCTCTTTCAACCAACCAAACACATTCTCCTAAACATGCCGCTCTGTTTAAGCTGCCAGGTCTGCCTTCCTCTGCCTCGCTATGCTGCTGCTGCTACTTCAAAGTTGCTCTCCTGCCCCCCCCCCCACCACTCCAGCTTCCATCCCAGCATCCACCTGTAGTTATCTAATCATTACTCAATGTTCTGTGTAAATCTGTGGAGTGATGAGGCCCCGGTGTCTGACTGAATTATTATGATGTCATTATTGAACAAGGACCTTGCATAAAAAGACATTCATCTCAAAAAGAGAAGAGCTGCTACAGTATATGCCAGATCTTAGCTAAAAGCTCATTTCCATCTGCAGTCCCATGGCAGGTAAGCACAAAACAACAAACATGAAAACATGTCCTAGTGCCTATCACACTAACAATTATACCAGATCAAAATACAGATCAAATATGAATACGAGTACATTTGTCAAAACAAAAAAAAATTCATTTAAACGTCTTAAATGATGCACTATGGTAAAAACATGGGAAGCCAGGCAGGTTTTAAGCTCAGCTGGAAGCATACTCCAATGTCTGATGGCCTTCAAAGAGAGAACAGATTGTGCAAATGTAGTGCACCTCAGTGGGATGCTGAGAGAAAAGAATGAGATTGTCAAAGCTCAGGAGATTGTATTTGGATAGGATGGTCAATTCTTACCAAAACACTTTGAAGGCTTGTTTGAAAATAATCTCAACCATTCAAAATTGAAGTGAAGAAGATTTGATGGTAGACATGTTAAATCCTATAAAAGGAGGGCCACGACAAAATAGAACTCCCCACCAACTGGAAATTGAGAGGCCATTGAGAGACACAATGTAAGTCCAACTTGTTCTTGTAGCTTCATTAGGTTGTTATGTTTTCTTTACTGTTTCAGATCATTAACAGTGCAGATGGAAGTCAATGGCAACACAGAGAAGGTATTTTTAATGCGTCTAACAGCAAAAATAAGTGTGAAATGAATGAGAGGAAAGTAACAACATGTAGGGGAGAGCGGGGTAAGATGAGTCCATTTGTACTTATAGGAATAATGAGATAAAACAACTTTTATTTCAGTATGTCTTCTGTCAATGAAAATGAAAATAATACATTTCTTACAAAGGGCCATCAAAACATGACACTTCAAAAACAAAGTGGTGTTGTTGGCTAACTAGCCCCATCTAAGGGGTAAGTTGATTCGCATCATGGGGTCAATTGAGCCATCTGGGGGTCATTTGACCAATTGACTTTTTCAAGTTCAAACCTGAGCATCATTTAAAAAAGATATCATCCTTTCACTGCCACTCCCTGCTGGTGTGAGAATGAACTAAACAGCCCTGAAAGATATCCTTAAATGCTCTGGTAACACATGTCTGTTGTTAATGTACTTTAATGATTTATATAGATTAGTCAAAAACATCAAAAACAAATCAGTTGTGTAAAACGACATACTACAGAGACCTGACTTAACTTCAGTGCCTCATGGGGGGTTCAGCTGAACCTTTACCCCACAGCACCGCTTTTGGGGGAATCTGTCTAGCTTAGTCATTCCTGCTAATCTTTAGCTAAAAGGGTTCACATGGTTTTACACCTTGCTAAATAACCTACATGTATGATACATATGTTCAGACCTGGATCAATTTGCTTTGACATAACAGTAATTATACCTGATATGTTGAACATACATACATGTTTATTGTGAAAAAAACACATCAACCACTTTACAATGTGCTTCTCTCCGACACAGCTAAATAGAAAGGATGAGTGCTTCCTGAATGTATGGCTGCATGACAACAGTTCCCTAGATAAAGGGGGTGGGTCATCTGACCCCACTCTTTCTCCCCTACGACAGTTCTCTTTGCCAGCGTAGCAAATCAACAGTTAGGTTGGGGATTGTCTTACCTTGATTGTGTGTTCTTCATCTTTGAGGAGGAGGTCCATCTGTGCAGCTCTGTCCTCCTCACCGAGGGCGCTCTGAGTCACAACTCTCAGCTTCTGCTCCAGAGCAACGTTAAAGGCCCTGGCCTTCATCAGTCTGCAACACACGCATACACAGACAGAGCATTACGCCAAACTCCTCAAACACAGCCCTTCTGCGTCTGATATAGACAGAGGTGGAAAAAGGATTCAGGTTATTTCTTTAAGTAAAAGTCGCAATACTACAGTGTAAACATGCAAGTAAAAGAACTCAAGTCAAAAGTAAAAGTTCTCATTATGCAGAATGGCTCGTTGAAGCAGCATATATTTGTAATTTTTGTATTATACTTATTGATGCATTAATGTGTTCATCACATTTCAATACAATTGTATTTGAATGACTTTAGTTACTACTGGGTGGCTTTAATAATATATGATAATGTATTAGTTGATTTACATTTTTGTATCAATAACATCAATCTGCAAAGTGTCTAGGAGAGAAAAAGTACAACATTTGCCAACAAATTGTAGCGGAGAAAAAGTATAAAGTAGCATGAAATGAAAAGGCGTGTGGTGCAGTGCGTTGGTGTTGGGATCAGGGGAGCGCAGGTTCAAACCCCACTGCAGTCAGCATGTCGTTGTGTCCCTGAGACACTTCACCCCAAATTGCTCCTGTGGGGATTTCCCACAGTATTGAGTATGTAAGTCGCTTTGGATAAAAGCGTCTAACAAGTAACATGTCATGTAATGTAAATACTCAAGTAAAGTACAACAAGCACCTAAATGTTTTACTTAAGTAAGCTTTAGATAAGGGCCACTAACTACCCCCCGACGTGTTCACCCATCCCAAATACCAAACCTAGATCAACCAGGTGAGCCACCAATGGTTTTTTCTAACAAGACTCTCTTCATGTAACGACGGGAAAACTATCGTTTTATTTGAAACACTTAATGTATGAGCTGAAAGGGACATGTCGCTCTTGACTCATCCAAAATGTACGTAAGAGCGGTACCTTGAATGCCACATTGTGGAGCTAATGCCACTGACAAGCTGACGAGTTGGTAGTGAGAACGTGGTTTACTGACAACAGAGTATTGTAGGATTTCACTGACTTGTCATTGTTATCCTGGATGTCTTTCTTTATTCTGGATATGTTTGAGTTTACAGACTCCACATCGGAGGTTGCTCTGTCCAGTGTGCCTTTGCAAGTATCCAGCTGCAAAACCAGAGAGAATCAATTTAATAATAACGACATTTGAACCTTCTTTTATAGCACGACCCACAATTGAAAATATCTGTTAACAGGATGTTTCTGTGGCAAAATGTTGGTGGCTCAAAGACTGACCTCATCCTTCAGCCTGGTGCAGTTATTCTCCTGCTCCTTCAGATCCTGCCGCAGCCTCACAGCCTGACTTTTGGACGTTGTTATCTTCCTCTCACTTTCCTTGTTGTTGTTTCTCTGAGTGTCCAACAATTGCTTCTTCTCTATTACGGTGGCATTCCTCTCCCTGATGTTCTGGTTGGACTGGGCTAGTTGCTGCACGGATGAAGGAACAACACAGGAGTATACACTTGTTCACAATAAGTTGGCTTCTTTTGTTTAAGGGTTTATACGCATTCATTCAGCATATCGTTTATCAGCAGAAGCATGTGGTCCAGATTTTACCAGAGCACACTGCTGCATCTCAGCATCTCGTTGCTTCATCTGCTTGATGGTGTTTTCCCACTGGTGGATGAGCTGCTGTGTCTCGTGGTGGGCCTGCTGCAGGTTTTCTGTAGTTTTATCCAAAGCAATCTGTTCAAAAAGCAGAAGAAATGTACATTTTCAATGGAGATACTCAGATGAAGGGTGGCATATCCTCCTGAGACCAAGAAAGAAAAAGGTTTCAAACTTCCTTTTTTTTATGATCACACAAGTCTTTAGGGTGGTATAAACATAATGACTAACAAAAACTAAAAACATATATTTTTATTTTTGTTTTATTGTGTGTCCTTCATAGAGGACATCGGGTGTTAGTTATGCGAAGCATAGTATACAAACAACATTAACATGCAATTACATTTAGACATCATTAGAGCACAACAACTCAATGCAACAAATACTGAGCCCTCATTTGTAGTACTCCATCCTTTTCTGAAATGCAGAGATACTTCTGACACTTGAGGCACTTGATGTATGTGTTCCCACTGCATCCGTCTGCCATGAACCCTAAGTGTTAGTTTGGGCCCATAGTGGACTCCATGTGTCTTGTGTAAAATGGGGGAAATAAAAGGTTAGTAAATCCCCATGCCCTCCTCAGAGGACATTCATAAAAACATTTAGTTTTAGGTCGAATAAGTATTACACTGCTCTGAAAACTCACTACACTAACTCCTAAGATGTTCCCTTACTATAATTAATTGAAATATTGACCTCACGACACTGGTAATTACACAATTACAAATGTACCATTTCTCTTTCTATAAATAGTGTTTGTGTTGATGGACGCCATTTTGAAATACAATGAAATTATCTTTTTCAAAGCCACACCCCCACATATGTCACATGTCTGAAAAGCCCAGGATGTCCTCTGTGGAGTACACTTGGACTTAATGCTGTGGCATGTATAACCTCAAAGTCATGGACCAAAACCCAATGTGCTCCACAGAGGACAAAAAGGAATGGGTGGGTCTCAGGAGGATGGAGTCATGAGCCTTAATGTGAAGAGGAGTCTAATCTGAATGGCTGAACTGGGTTTTCTTTTGTGCCTGTGTTTGGTTTGGCAGGCAGTCCAGAAACACACATTTATGTGCAAAAACTCTGAAAAAGTGATTTTGTTTTACATGCCGTTAGCCTTTAGAAAAATGAAATTGATCTAAACATTGAGGTGGTACAGTTGTTGCTTACCTGTGCGGATATAGTCTCAGTCAATTCTTTGTCGAGTGCTTTGCGCTTTTCATTGGCCTCCAGAGTCTTCTTCTCTATAGCCAGCGTGAGCGCCTTTATCAGGAAAGATGACAAAGCTCCAGATCAGTTGTAAACAGCAGCTTAGTTAGCTGGGAACAGAAACAATGTGCACATGTGAAATGATACAGCCCTCTCACCTTGATCCTCTGCTCATCCTGCTCAGCGTACTTGATGATGGCCATAGTGTCCTCATCTCTGCGCGCTGACTCCTCTAAAAAGGAATCCATGGTCTGCTGGTCCCAGCTCATCTGGCTCCTAAACTTCTCTAGCTTCTGTTTGGCCTTGACGATGTTGTTCTGAGGATATAGAAGCAGGTTACGTTGCACACTTTGCACCCTCTTGAATAGCTGTGTTTATGTTCAAAGTCAATGTTGTAGACCTCCAGCAGGTTCCTCCTCTCCGCTAAAGTCCGAAGGTCATTCTCCATCTTAGCAGTCTCCTGAGCCAGGCGACCTCTCTCCCTTTCGACGAGAGCAGTGAGGTGTTTCTCCATCTCTCCTTCGCTTTCCTTCGCCTTGCATAGAGCCTATGTGCAGAAAGATACAACACACTGACTATAACCAGCATACTAGAAGAGAAATACTGTGGTGACAAATACTAAATAAATAACAACGTATTTGGATTGACCTACCTCAGTATTTGTCAGCTCTTGTTGAGCCCTTTTGAGGAATTCGCTCATTAACTGCTTCTGAGCCTTGTTTCTCTCAAGTTTGTTTTCCAGTTGCAGCGCCTCTGCCTCCTTTTTACGAATCTGTTGTTGAGAAAGTCACACATTAAAAACACAACATTTCTTAATAAGTGTTTTGCTCTTATGAACGCACATATTAGAGCCATATTGTTCAAATGCTTACAATGTCATTATTACAATGTGGTTGCAGTGTAGAGCATGGTATAATAGTTATTGAGTTAACTTAATGTGTATGAAATAGTCTCAAATAGTCCGCTTAAGTCATGTTGCCCCTCATTGTATTCATTTGTCATCTATATATTCTTATTTTGTGTCTTTTTTGTGTTATTTGGAGTAGCTGTAGTGTATATTTCTTGTTGGTTTGTGACTATTTTCCATCCTGTAGCATCTCTTTGTGGCAATTTTGGCGTGGCCTCTGTGGTGATTTGAAGTGTCTCTGTTTCATATTGGGTTGTTTTTGGTCATTCTGCGGCTCATTGTGTTTTTTGTTAGTTAAGCCACCTGACCCGTTAGGCCCCTGGTGCTGTGCCCGGCTTGTCTGTTTAGTATAACCTGAAAGATGCCTGCCACAAATAAATAACGTTTTTAACAGAGCAAACATGTAGCTATGCACAATTATGCAGACATTAAACATTTTGTAAACGTTATTACAGTGCCTTTTTCACACATTTTAAGAGCTTATACCTGTACATTTTAGGGTCAATTCTCATTTCCTATGCATGACATAAATAAGTTGTTTATTTATTGTTTCATTGAGAAGACAGAAAACATGTTTGCTTGGTAACGTTTCCCCTCAAAAAGTAGCAATACAACTTAGTAAAATGTATAATGAGCCCTTAGGGTGACAACAATTCGATTTATGGCTTTTTTTAAATGAATGTATTTTTTGATGAAATAAATGTTGTTAAAAAAAACCCATGTTTGTGTCCTTATTGGATAAACCAGCAGACACAAGATACTCATTTCAACGCCAACTACACCAACCCTTTTTTCCTTGGTTAGAGAATTGTTTGACGGTCCCTAACAAAATATAAGTTATAATTTTTTTAATGTCAAACATAATTGTTTGTTAATTAAACAGACTAAACATATATTAGTTATTACGTTAAGCTAACTCAAAATTAACTGGTTTTATTCGTGCTTTCATAAATAAATATAACTCTGCTCCGACTCACCTGTTCCAACAAAGCCTTGTTTTCAGCATTGAGTTCAGGGATAGCAAAGCGCTCATCCCAGCCCATGTCAGATAAAACGGTATTCATAATAAAACTCGACATTTTTCTGCACTGTTTAACTCAGCCTCTCTAAAGTAACAAAATAATAGGTGAAGGTGATACTGTCTTCCGCTGCATTCACAATAAACTGCTGCTATCAGGGTTTCTCGCTCGCTAGTTTTCTAACTGTTACAACCGCTGTCTGTTGTCAGTTGCCCTTAGCAACCGCACGTGCCTCAAGCGTTATCACCACAAGGGGGCAGCGCGAGCACGTCACCTCACATGGTCCAGTCCATTGAGCTGCAGAAGTATGACGTGAAGTGTGCTTTTAAATATCAATTAAATGACTAAGTGTCAATACTTTTAACATGGAAGTTGTTGACACATAGAACATGACATCTCAAGAGATGACACAAAACAGATATTACAAAGACGTTAAAAAGAGGAGAAAAGTCACTACCCCATGTCAACTCATGCACATGGTATCTCCCTAAAATCACATCTGTTGACATTTTCTTGAGGGAAGTCTAATTTATGAGTTACTTTGGTATAAACGAAAGAAAAACATAGGGAATATGTCCAATGACATTGCTTAATAATCATAGCAATATAACAAAGACACTCTTGTATCTTTCAATGGATGTAAAGTTTGTGTGTTAATATATATTACGTTGGTTTCTTATACAAAAACCTGAATCTAAAGTAAAAGTTAAAATGAAGTTCTTTACTCTCTATGTTAAAGTATAAGTTGTATTAGTTAGGGCAAATTACATGGCAATCATAACAATTACTTGTACTAAATCATTACCAAAACATACTTTTTACATTAGAGGACCATTTAAACAAATCTAAATAAGAACATTCTTCTGGTTTATTAAAGATCCCTAAACGCACTAAATCATAACCTACATAATTCACTATCTAGGTTACTGGGGATGACTTTTACTCATTGTTTTTATACACAAACAAACAGAGGCCTGGCCGCTTTAAAGATACCAAATTGAAACATTTATTTTATCTTTATACATTTGTGTTTAAACAAAACAGCATTATGCTTAAAAAAATTACAATCAATGTTTTATACTGACTTGTCGCAACAAATGTATCCATAAAACAAAATCAGGAATGCACACAAGAGTATTAAAATTCAATATTTAAAGAACGACATCCCCTCGAGAACCCTCGTGTTTTAGATTACAATTCAAAAGTGGGTCTTTCTACCTGCTGTAGAGCGGACCCCCAAACATCCATGGACCAGGGGGGAGGCCATGATGGGGACTCCTCTCTAGTTGGCTTGAGCGCACACAAAAAGCCGAATACTTTAGATAAAAGTTTCAAACCACCACAAGTTGACCAACAAAGAGATATGCCTTTTTTATATATGTAAATACACACACACATGTATAAAGTCTCTGCTGTGTAAAATATTTCAGTCCTGAGGGTTGAAAAGGCAACATAGTTCTCAGCTCAGTGCGGTCCCCTTGTCCTCCGTTAGCTGCGGGTTTGATTTGTTAGAAACTTCACATCCTTTTAGTGAGAGCGGTCCTTAAACTGCCGTGCTTTTGGTCCCGATGTGTGGTCGTGCAAACTCCACAAAGTCGTCAATAAGGACGGGCCAAGCGCCTACAGAACGAACACACAATGAAATGAATGACTCCTCTTTGGATGAACACACGATTATAGACTGTGCTGAGATATTAATACTGTAGAACCATACTAGGCCTGTGTGAAGCAGGGCAGAGGCACTTAATCTAAAAGAGTGCGAAGGAACAATCACAGGTCATGGCCGAGCGCATGCACAGTGATGAATGGGCTCTATTTCAGCCGAGCATGTGTACAAACCTTCCTCGTCATAATTCGACATGTCATCTGTGATCATTGTGCTGAAGTCTAGTAAGAGGTTCCAAGTGTCCTTAGGAATTGATCGTTTGTGGTGCTCCTGCAAAAGTGGAACGAGTCAATGAGAAGGAATGACATTTGCATTTTTTTTAGTAATCTTGCGTGTGTGTTCTTTTTTTTCACTTACAACTAAAAATCTGTTCCACAAGTCCAGGAACTTGAATCTTCCAGCCAGTACTAAATTCCAATATGCAATTGCCATTTCTAAATCTGTACGAGAACCAGAATATGTTAATGTACATATTTGACATTAGTGTTTTTTTAATGCTTTTTTGGTACTGAATGACATTTATTCCCAAGAAAATGTATATGCACATCTCTGGTAAACACCATATCTAATGAAGTCGAACCTCAATTTTAAGATCCTTGTATTGAATCAACTATTCCATAAATGATCGTCTAAGTGTTAGTAGATTAAGAAATGATTTAGTGGAGGACAGCCCTGGTCCATGCAACAAACAAACCATGATGACGATGTGCATTAACAGAATTCTTACCTAATCCTTTCTGGCCAGGATTCTTTGCAAAATTAAATGTAAACTGGTAAAAGTCCTTAAATTTCCCTTGGTCCTTCAACTCTTGATCCATCTTTGGCAGCTGAGCTTTTAGCTTCTCTATGGTGTCACACCTGGGAACAAACAGAGAGCAGAATGTCATGTTTGGGTCGACAAAGACGAATGTGTTTTTTCCATTTGAGTTTGTTTCCAACTTGTTTGTTGTTACACAAAGCAATTCTTAAGATGCATGCGTACTGTATGTATAATGACAACTTTGTAACAGAAAATAAAGTATTTGGCTTATATTCATCATGTTCCAAAACAATGTCTAGAGCCTCTCTATAGGGACAATCATTTGTTCTGCATGCTCTATCCATATAGAATATTATTTATAGCAGTGTTTCCCAAAGTGCATGAGGGGCTGCAGCTTGGGATATAAATGGGATATAAATACAAATTCTTAAAACAATAAATGATTTGTTCAAAAATTAAAAACAACTTAAATAAATCAAAAATAACTTATATGTTACATTAACTAGACAGTTCGTTTCCCACACTGCAGAAGCTGCATTGACGGCGGCGACTATTTCGGATGCTAAGAAATAACCACCTGGTTCGGTTTTTTTTTGTGAAGTAAAGATTCGTAATATTGAGAATAATTGTATTTTAGGCTGAAACTCAACCACACATTTGTATCCATGTCGTTCATAATTGACTTTAACCATTTTAACTTTACTTATTAACTGTGTCTAGCTGTCTGTGTCACTTTCTCTAACTTCCCCCTTTCACTCCCTCCCTCATCTCAGATTAAATTATGATTTATAAATATTAATTGTAGTATTGAAAGTTTGCTGGAACATTTGCATCGTTACATTTTTGCCATATATACTTGGCAGTGTTTGCAAAGGCCTATGTTCATGTCAAGCCTCCAAAGTGTGGGAAGTTCTCATATGTAGTTAAGTAGCTCTTTGAGTTTGATGATAAAGTCCATTTACAGACACCTACAGATAACAGAGGAGGAGTTTCAGGATTATTTGAACCATCTGATAATATAATCTCACCCCTGTTCAGCCATGCCCTCCATGAATTCCTGTTTTGAAAACTCGCACTGTGTTGCTGCCCTGAACTTCCAGGCTATGAGGAGGACACTGATGCTGGCTGGGTCCAGAGCCAGGTCGTCACAGAACTGCTGGATCCCATCAATGCCGATCTTATTGTCATCATGGGGATCTTATTATGAAAAAAGGAGAGCATTGATTAATTACATCACAGTCAAATGTCATGTTTTGAAATGAAAAAAAACGCTCAAAAGTTTCTGTGTTTCACTGTGGGATTTATTTCTATACTGTCTATTGTTAACAATCTGTAACAGGCTGGATATCACACGGACAATTCATGTGGTGCATTATCCTTATACATTGAAAAGGACATACCTCTATATCTGTTGTACAGCTGATCGAGCTTCTTCTTGTCTAAGGCCCCCTTGAGATTTGATACATAGAGCTCTGGACTTTGGAAAAACTTGTCAGTGGCAACATCTAGTTTCCAGTCATTCTGTGACAGGCAGGTCAGTGCAGTCTTCTCATTGGATTGTGTGAAAATCATGAACTGGCGAACTTTATCCTTCTGTGAGGACTTCAACTTGTTCTGGACAAAGACATACACAACATGTGTTGTTGCATCAACACACCAATACACATTTGATGAATAGCAAAAACATGATTTCTCTTTTGTAACTGCAGAACTCTTACAATCTAAAATTACCTAATGAAAGTATGATAGTTGCTAGCTTCAAAAACACTTCAACATGGTTTAACACAAACGAAATAACAGCGTTAAGAAAACTACAAATAACATGCTAACATGACAGCAGATAACGACTTGCAATGTGTTGACTGATTGGCTAGTGTCTTTTTTTATTTTTGACAACATTAAACAAGCAATCTAGTAATACAATGCTGTCAACAACAATAGATAGCTTACGGTGCTGCAGTGTGTGGAACCTTAGTTAGCTAATTGTGTTTGTCAGTGTGCTTAGCAAGCTTAGCGAGCTAACTAGGAGAGCTGGCTAGTCTCACCCGGAGCTAGTTAGCTAATGCTAACGTCGAGAGCTAGGTTTGTTTTCATTATGTAAAGGCAGTGTGAGGTCATTGCCGCATGCTATTGACTATATAAATCAACAGAGAGTAAAAGTGTATGTTTGCAAACACTGTATACATTTTCATCACGGCAACAGAATAAAAACACTCATCTCTTACCATGTTTGTCTTTGCCCGACTCCCTTTCCGCCCATCCAGCTGGCTAACGCGTGTAAAGTTTTTACAAGTCGCATAAAAAGCTCTTCCGGTTGAACCATCATTAATTAAAAATAAAATGTTTCTTCTTGTTTATGCTATATCCTAAAGTTCTAAATTGTATTTGTTTCAATTATGTACCTTATATATTACACACATTATGTGTTAAGTGTTGAGTTCTCAGACGAAATTTGATATACTAACAGGTGCGCATTTTATTTTGAAGCAACTTGTCGGAAGTGGCTCCAGAAATCATGAAAATAAGCTCCTTCCTCTTACCTATGTGTGCGGAATATCAGACGTCTATCTGAATGTTAAGGCGTGCTTTAAACAGAGTTCAGGACAACTGGAAATCGTACAGACATCGGTTTGTACCTTGGGTTGTTCTGAACCTATCTAAAAATGAGAAAACTCTGCGGCAGGTGACGGACCGCTCTAAAGACAAGCTGGTCCCAGATCAGGAAGTTTCAGAGAGCCTGCTGCAGCTCTTCAGTGTCCTGCTCAGGAGTCATGGGGCTGACCATGAGGAGCTTCGAGGGGCTCAATCTCATCTTCTCAGAAAGGAAACCACTAAACAACACCAGTGTGAAGAGGAGGCAATGTTACGATCGCTAGGATTCTGCATGGCACGGAAACCCAGCACTTTACCCTTTGCAGGAACTGGCGTGTTTGTCACCAAAGGATGTGTATCAAAAGGAGCTACAGTGGCCATGTACCCTGGCACAGTCTATCAAGCCTATGAGCCAATTCTCCTCCAGTCCATCAGAAATTCATTTGTATTCAGGTGCATTGATGGGGTCCTGATTGATGGCAATGACAAAGGCATCTCCAAAGTGGTGTTCAAGTCCTGCAGTGGCCGGGACAGAATGGGGCCCTTCTTGATGAGTGACACCAGCTGGCTGACCTCCAGTCCACAAAACCCACTTGCTGTTGGACAGTATGTGAACAACTGCTCCAACGAGTATCCTGCTAACGTTTGCTACCAGGAGTTTGACGTGCCAGACAAATTTCCCATCATGCTCCGCCAGTATCTGCCTAATGTCAACTACAGCACAGACTCACAGAGGCCCCTACGCTGTGTTGTCCTTGTGTCCCTCAGAGACATCACAGCAGGGGAGGAACTATTCTCCAACTACTACACCATTGTGCATTAGAGTCAGAGTTCACTTACTGTACACTGTTCTACTTTGGTATTGGAAGTGAAGAAAACATTTATATTTTAAAATGTTATCATTGCCTGGAGAAAAAAAACATTTATTAAAATATTTCTCTTTGTACTCTCAGCGTTACACTTGAATACATGCTAAACATGTTTATATGGATTTCTATAACTTGCAAGAAATAAAACTGCTCTTATTTAACAGTTGAAAGGTATTTTGTTGTTGAAAGGTATTGCAAGAAAATATTGGAAAACACATAGGATCAGTTCGTGTGCAGAATAGGCATTGGGGTTTAAGCTGGCTTTTTTTTAAGCAGACAAAGGCGTTGTGTTGATCATTAAGTATTGTGGGGATAACATTATTTTTTAGTTCAACACCCAGGCCAGATGCCACGATACTGCTACTAAGGTTAAAAATGTTCAAGAGTGAAATTACTTTTTATTTATACCAACATAAATTACACAAATAATGTGACAGGATTAACAAAAGAGTTATAGGTCCAACTTGATGAGTGGCGTGAATCGATATCATATAATAACCCTCCATATACCAATGTCCCAAAGGAGCGCACACCAGACAAGCCGCACCATAGTTAAACATGATTTTGTTGAAATCTGCTTTCTAGTGTTATCTGGGCCTAGAGTAGTATGGTTTGAATCAAATGAATAAAAAAACATTTATTTATGTTCTTGGATTATTAATAATGATGTATTAAAGCGGCCCTATTATGCTTTTTGGGGTTTACCCTTTCCTATTATATTTCCTATTATATATTATATTCTTGTTATATAGGTTGTTATGCATGTAAATGGTCTGCAAAGGTTGAAATCTCAAAGTTTCCAAATCTCCAAATCCCAATCAGAGCAGATTAGGCTCTCAAGTGGAGTACCTCATAATTTGGTAACTTTCCACCACTATCACCTGCTTGGTAACAGAAGTTTACAGAAACAGGGTGCAGTCATACGAGTATCATGAGTTAACCTCTTGCCAGGGCAAGGCACCAGACACAGCTTAGTTGGGAAACACAGGCAGGCAATACAGTAAAGAGCTTATTAACAGCATATTAACTAAATGGAAACCCTCCCAATAAAAAATAATAAATAGCTAAACACACTTCCTACATTTTAGCCACTTCTGAAATAAAAAAACCTGAAACACAATTGACACCAAGCTATGGTTTAACATAAAGCAAACACTGGGTTCATTTCCTGCTTGCTGCGTGGGATCTGCGAAACATCGCGAATGGACGCGGGAAGGGGGGGGGGGGGTGCTGAGGGGGCTGCAGCACCCCCATCTGCGAGGCTCCACTAGCACCCGCACCCCCCAAGCGGGGCACCTACAGTGTAACGGCCCTTCCACACGGCGGCATGCGTTGAAGCTTCAACGCTTCTGCCCATTCACTTTGAATGGGGTGACGTCATGCTTTGCCGAACTGCATTGTGGTTCCGTCGCTTCGCTTTGCTCGCGTTGCTCGCTTCAAAAGTAGAGTAATGTTCTACTTTTTAAGCTTCGACGGAAGCGTCAGCCAATCTTGTGCTTGTGTGTCCGGGGCGGGAGATTCATGTGATTGGTTGTTGGTCGAGTTTCAGACACGCACGCCGCCGTGTGGACGCTGCGTAAGCGCGCCACAGTTTTGCCACTGCGAGGCTCCACCAAGCCCCCAGGAGGTGCGCCGGACTCTGATGAAAATATTCGTTGTGTCCAAACGGCGGTACTACAATTTCCGTATCAGTCCGTGACGTCACTGGGCCCAGAAATACTTTTCCCCATTGACTAACATTGGGAAAGAGACGTCTGTAAATCAGCGGATACTTTTTTTTTAAACTAAATAAATTACCCAGTATGAACTATTTTATAGCCCTTATTAGAATCATTCGGTCCGTAAAATACACTAAAAGCCGAATCTAGATTTATTTTCTGTCTCCATTCATTCTACTGAGCCGAGAGTGGGAGCTCGGGGGGCGGGGCTTAAGGGGCGCATGCTCTGTGAGCGCACATACGGGTTCTTCTGCTCTGACAGCTATGCATGATGGGTAATCTGTGACATTTCGCTCTCTCAAAAGTTGGGCCATTTTGTCCTCATGCACCAATAGAGAGGCGAAGTCCCGCCCCTTCCGGGGACCTCCATGGGACCTTATTTCGGAAAAAGTATGTATTGAAGTCAATGGAGAGAGACAACTTATCTTTCGATCCCGTTTTAATTGTGCCATGAATTACACATATGATGTTTGTCAATCTTAAAAAACTATTTCCATGTAAAAAAAGTCACAGTTTGTCGTAAAACTGTTGAAATATAAGACTATGAAAAATATGCAACTAGAAAGACTACAAATCCCAGAATCCCGGTCCCGCATGCTGACTCTTACGGAACCGACTAACTCCCCTTTTGTGTATTTGCAGCTCTCAACATGCAGACTTGTAGAGATTTTCTCCTCGTTTAATACTTTTCGCCTCATTCTGAAAGCAAGAAGTGAAATGTGCTAACGTGACGGCCGTCTTGGTGTGTGGTGCGAGACGGGAGATGTAGTTCATTGAGCGGTTTCACGCAAAAAAAAGGGTTACTTCACAGTTTTATTCTTTTGACTTGCAAAATTATCTTTTAAATTGACAAACATCATGTGTAATTCGTGGTACAATTCAAACGGGATCGAAAGATAATCTTTCTCTCGCCATTGACTTCAATACATACTTTTTCCGAAATAAGGTCCCATGGAGGTCCACCGGAAAGGGAGGGACTTCGGCTCTCTGCAGCTCTCATAGGAAAGAACGAGACCCCGCCTCCGACGCTGTATCTAGTTCTTATTATACATCCATGGGCTCCACTAGCATCCCCCCCCACCCCCAGTGCGTCACAGTTTCGCCGCTGAGAGAGTGTGGGTGTTTCTCAATGTCGAGGACGAGGACGCTTGCTTGGTAGCACATGTCTTCCGAGTCAATTGCTTCAGAAGCGAGGCAAGAATCCTTCCTAGCCTCGGATAACAAAGAATTGTGGAACAGGCTAACAGGTGTGCGTCATATGAGAGGCCCCGCCTTAGATGGAGCGCTATTTCCGCCAAAGATTTGGAAATTGGTCCGTCCGCAAAGCATTGTGGGGATTTTAATACTGCGGAGTCTACACATGTGCAGCCTCGAAAGTTCTCGCTACGAAGTACGCCGGCCTCGGTAGAATTCCAAGGCTGCATCTCAAGTCGGTTATTTTCATGTCCTCGCTCCTCTGTATCACCGGAAGTTGATTTGTCTGCGCCATCTTGAGTAGCGTCCCATGGCGCTTATTTCTGCCGGAGGATCGAGGATCGAGGAGCGATAATGGAGGAGCGATAATGGAGGAACTACCAGACCATCCTCCGATGAAATCCTCAGATACTCGTAGATCACCAACACTATGGTTTATTTTTTATTCACAGGCAAGTCAACGTTGTCGCAGTAAAAGTCCCAAGATAGCTCCTGGTGCAATAAAATGTTCCCTTTCAGTGTTTTACTATTATATCTGATGTTTCTCTATTAATATTGCTGCTGCATTAATGTGTATGTTGCATGTTACTGCTGTAGATGTGTTTCCGAGCCGCTCCGATTACAACGAGAGTTACAACGAGAACGTGATGTCATATTTACACAAGACGGATCCTTTCTAGCCATAACCAGCTGGCTGCTGTCAGACGAACAGCTGTTCAGCGTCATCACAAACGGACATCGCTTCACGTGACGCTCCGGAGGAAAGGACGTCTCATTGCTCTTAAAACTCATTAGAGGTTTCTCAATACTCTAATTTCCCCTCCTCTCTCCTCGGTTCCCCTCCTCAGTCCTCCGCTCGCATCTCCTGTGGGCGGGACTAAGTCTCGAGGATAGGAGTCGAGGAGGAGAAATTAGAGTTTTGAGAAACCTCTATTGCCCTGCTTCTCGTGGTTTCCTTG